GTAGGTCTCAACATACATAAAGGAAAAAGCAAAATTCTCCGATGCAACACAACATGCACCAATCGAATCAAGGGCTGCATTTCTACAACTGAAAAATATCTGGAACTCCAAACAAATATCAATCAACACCAAAATCAGGATTTTCAATACAAATGTGAAGACAGTTCTTCTGTATGGAGCGGAAACATGGAGAACTACCAAGGCCATCATTCAGAAGATACAAGTGTTTATTAACAGCTGTCTACGCAAAATACTTCGGATTCGTTGGCCAGACACCATCAGCAACAACGAACTGTGGGAGAGAACAAGTCAGATTCCAGTGGAGGAGGAAATCAGGAAGAAGCGGTGGAAGTGGATAGGACATACACTACGAACTGCGTCACTAGACAAGCCCTCACATGGAACCCTCAAGGCAAAAGGAGAAGAGGAAGGCCAAGGAACACATTACGCCGAGAAATAGAGAAAGACATGAGAAGAATGAACAAACATTGGACAGAACTGGAGAGGGAAGCCCAGGACAGAGTTGGTTGGCAAAAACTGTTGGGCGGCCTATGCTCCATTGGGGGTGACAGGCGTAAGTAAGTAAGTAAGTAAGTAATCTTAACATTTTGATTTTACCTGTAACATGCTTCTTGTAACATGTTATTTGATAAAAATTAATCATTACAACTAATTATACAGAATTTTGGATTCACATTCCACGAGACAGTAAGTTATCAACCATAGAAACTGATTAGTTTAACCTTCAAAATTGTATGCAAACGGGCATTGAACACTCGTATAATGAGTAATATTAATATTTAATTTTAGTTAGACAATTACAGCACTATCACCCATTGTAATTTTTTCGCTGAATTAGCATTATTCCACTGAAAATAATGTTCTCACCCAAGAAACTCACCTGAAATAACCTGCAGTCTATTTTTTACTTCTTTTTATTCTACTGACTTTTGGACTAAGTAAGATATTATCTTTGACTATTTATGAATTGGAAATCAAACGAAATTCAGTACAAAAAATGTGACAGGATATTTAGATTTTTCAGGCCTGGTGACGTGGGAGGAATGTTTATTAGGTTTCGTCTGGAGATTGAAATTTTCGAATGCTGTGCAGTTTTTATGAACTATTGTATAGTGGCTAGTAGTGCCCATATTCGAATATTTATGGATATGAAATGTTTATTTCACAAACTAAGGTCGTTTCTGTTCAATTTTAGTAATTTTGCACATTGTCTGGACCAGAAGTATGAGATGCGAAGAGTATCAATCTTCACTGCCCAATACATCTCACTTCATCAACCGCCTTTGATAATATCACTGACTTCTTCAGAAACTTTCGGTGATTTTTCCCATTAAACTGTTAAATTATAATCAAGAAAAAAATGCGCTTACCTTATCAATTCTGGTTATCTACATCCCCGAACTAGCTTTTTTTGATTGTCGACCAGTAGACATCATAACCAAATACTTCAAGCCAACTACGGTATTGCACATGCCAGCTTCTTGGACATCAATAATTTCTATGTGGATAAAATCAGCGCTGTATTGTAATGACCGATGATTCTTGTAAAATATTTAACTGAACAACCCAATACAGTAAATGGTTGTGCATTTTTAACATCTTGTTCCTGCTTGTAAACTGGAATGCTTCATGTAAATTACTGATGTCTGGGAATAAATTTTATTATTTGTGGATAGCTGATTTTTTAAAGTCGATCAAACTCACATCCGCTTCTGTGGTCGTTCACTCATTTCATTCAACTGTATCATGAACTATGGGCTTCCATGTATTTGAACGTATGAAATATAAACGCAATTCTGAACTGTTGGTTATTAGACTTGCGTTCTTCCTCAGCACTCAGAGCAAGCTAGTGTTGGGCTACTTTACAGGCAGATAGAAGTAGTTTTCTTGCTGTGTATTTGTAACTAAAGAGTCTTCTCTGCATGTTGGTCATTGAGGGTCATAACAAAATTTCGACGCCGACATTCGTAAATCTCAATGTTTTTTAGACCCTGTTCCCACTTGTTCAAAAATAACACTCACCTCGTAATCCAGGGTTCCATTTGATTAGTAGCTGAATGGATGGCGTTACTTACATCCAAAACTTTGCTTTAGATTTTACACAGAGCCCGTATATTTTGACCTACTCGTGTTTAAGAAAAGAGAATAAGTCAGCATCGATGTTTTCCACTTAGTGCTAAATTCCACTATTTTTAGATCATCTTGAAAAATGAATTTGTTCCTACGTCGCAAGATGCACATTGATGTCCCAACCGAAACATCATTGTCAAAACATTTTCATCTCTTGATAGCTGAAAGATAGTATAAGTTTCATGATCGGAACAATTAGACCAATTATTACTTATAAATACAAATACCACAATGAAAAATTTAAGGTGTATCTATTGGCGAGTAATATAACTTACTGCTAGTGAGATTGGCAGTGATAAAACGTTATGAAAAACATGAAAATATATGCAGTGAAGAACATTAACCTGTAGTTGAACGGATGCTTTTACCGAGAAAAGAATGCCTGTGAGTGTTTGAAAGCCAAGCATTCGAAAAATAACATGTGTGATACCATACAACAAACAAAAATGAAGTACCTGAATAACAGAAATAAAAAGTAACAACAGTCTTTTGCATATATTCGAATTCTAGTTTGCGAACAACTTTGTTAATTTTGTTTTATTGTGTTAAAACAATTTCATATATTGTACTTAAAGGTACTTGTCGTTCAAAGTATTGATGTGTAGTGTAATTATGGATTGACTAGATTGATACGTAGGGTCACATAGATACTACTAAGGGAACCCCCATTAGACCAATAATGTGTTCTAACTCGAATCAAATGTTTTACATACCAGATTTTCCAGACATTTTATGTAGTTGAGAACATGACAGGAAATCCAACTCCTGGAAATAAATAATACGAAGATTGTTTTCTTTCATGTTAGCTATACTCAAATAATGAACTTTTCAGAGCGCCAGTAGTATCCGTCCATGTTCGACTTTCATTAGACTATGGAAGCACAAAGAAACTGGTTTTAGTATCAGATTTGTTGATTGAGGACAGAAGGCCGACGACTTGTTTTAGATTTTGCGTACCTTTGTTTGTCTAGTTTTCTCTCGAATGATTTAGTAAGTTGTCCGGACTTTGAGTTTTATGTCCTGAGTACTAATGATTTGGTGCTCCACGAATTGCTATAAACCAATTGAATTCTTTGCGCCTTATCCATGTTCTTTCAGTATGGTTCCAAGTGGTCAGACCTGTACACCAAGGATGTTTTATTTACTTTTTGCGTTGAAGCCAGCCTTCTTTGTGCTTTGAGTTGACTTGATTTAGTAAGAAAAAAGGATATTCCAAGCCCTAGATTTTTTCTAGTCATACCATACACCAGAATCAACTTTTAAATGGAGGTAAGGTGGGGTAAAGAAATCTTGCTTCTCAAGCTGCTCTATATGTTAAACCGAGGAGTTCTGGAATTTCCCGGTTATCTTTTCTTCTTACCTGAGATTACTGAATCACTTTTTAAAATTCGCTAGGCAGCCTGAACACAGTTTTCAAGTTTGAATCTCATTACGGCTTTGTATACCTTATTAAACATCTTCGTATCCAGCTTGATAGATGACCTTATGAACGCCGTAGCCACAAATATACGGTAGTGAGGCTTAGTTTAAACATCATGGCTCACTATTATCTACAGATCACAGGAGAGAACTAAGGAGGACACATCCTTAAAACTGTAGCTATCTTCATTTGTATTTCCAACGTTCATTTCTTCACTGTTGTTTTGGTCGTTCAGAATCAACCATATTTTAAGTCAGCTAACCAAAGTATCATGGTTGAATTTCAGTTACCTCTCATCAAAGTTTAAAGTAAATTTGTATCGAAATTCGGGGATTTATTTACAATTAATATAAAAGGTAAAAGACCTACGACAAAGCATCGCATTACTCTATTTATTACTAGTTTCAATCAGGAGTTTGAATTTATTCTTACTGCCTGCGCACAATCCACCAGATATTGTTGTTTTTTTAAAAGTTTCAGCAAGGAGTCGTCCGTCAAATGTATTCTTGAAGCCAACAAAGAAAACATCCACTGATTTACAATCATTAAGCGGCTCCATCTTTCTCTTGTTGTATGAAAATAAACTGTGCATAATAATTCCTTCCTGAATTCATGTTGTTCTGTGCTTTACAAACTACTGGTTTCTTCGATAGTTGAAATAATTCTTTGGATTATTCTCTGTAGCATTTAATCTTTAGGAATGGTGAAACTGAAGGACTTTTAGTTTATCGTAGGTTTTCTTCATATTGCATTGTAAATTGGTAGCAATATCGACTAACCTGCTAGAAATGACCTACCTGAGCTATCCGCCTCGGCAGGTTCTAAAGTTTCATTTCTTCGACTTAAACTCTTCTCTTCCCTATAGTACAACGTGGCAGCAGGTGTATGGTATTCACTTTTTTGCTTGATGTTTCAAATTAATTCTTCTCTTCTTTCTTAGTCAAATCCCTTACAGTGTGTAAGCTTGGCTATGACATAATATTTATTGCGTTGATGTAGAATTAAATGCAATATCCATCAACCTAATTTTTGTATAGCTCCTTATAATTTGTTTATTTTTGCGCTGTTGTTCTTTTTTTGTCATCCCACGAAAGAGTAGTTTCGTTCTAGTTACGATATGCTTAAGATGACCACTAATATAACGATTTTTGACTGATCAGATCAATACGTTTGGCTTAGTGTTTGCTGCTCTTTGGACGTTCAAGTCACTGGATATTCTCTTTAGTGGCGATTCCAGCCATCTGGTCAAGTTGTGCGTTATAATTATGCGGCGATTATAACTCTAACTTCTTGTTTTTATTACTTCGCTTGACTTTGAGCGTTCGTCATTGCTTATTTTGATTGATTACTTTTTTTATTAGACATAAGTACATCTCATGTTATTCTTAGGCTATTGAATCACAATTAACCATTGTAACTCTCTTTTCCAGACTGAACGATTCGTCAGCACGCAAGGGCTTCCTAGTTCAGACAAAAATTGATTGAAGCTAAAACTATAGTTATTCTGATCATTTTGGGATTTGAGGCTTCAATTCAGCTACTATAATTATTATATTTAGTCAGATACATATTAAGAGAAGTAAATTTGTCACCGATTGTCAGTACTTCAATGAATTCCGCAAATGTTAATGTTCTGTGCACTAGTCGTGAGGTGATTTCTTCATACCAGACACACAATAATGACTGTCATAATGGTGACGAGGAAGCGCTGGAAGTTCTGCTGCAGAAAATTTATGTAGGTTATTTTTAGTCTAAAAAAATTTTTTCAGAGTCTGGAAAATGAACGGCGGATTCTAAAGCTTCGTCTTGAGACTGTGGAAAGCGATTACGATGCTCAAGTAAAAGAACTACAGACAGATATAATTGCTATGCGTATTGACCTCAAAAAAGAAAAGAAAATGTGTAGACAGATAGAACGAGAGAAGAATACTACTATTGCTGAATTAATGCAACAAAATCAATCTTTAATTCACCAGCTTAATTCTTCCAGTGAAAATGAAGCTCTTTTAAAGGAAGAAATGTCTACTTTGAGATCTGAGTTTTTAAAGCACAAATCGTCTATGCAAGAACATGTTCAATCAATAGAGTCTTTGCGACAAGAAGTTAGTTTAATAATGCGCCTATAATTGTTTTAGATCACTAAATTACGTGAGGAAAAGAATCACTTAGAGAATCAGTTAAACACTGTCATGGAGGAAAGAAATAACATTTTGGAATCACTCAAAGATTCTTATCAGGAAATAGGAATTATGAGACATGTAGCTAACGAACATGTCACTACTGTATGTTTTCAGTATTTTTAGCATATTTTCCAGATAAATATTCAAGATGCAGAAATTACGAGGCTTCAAGAGACAGCTAGTATACTTCACAATCGGCTTCATAAATTGTCAATCCAAACAAGTGAACAGATACCGGGCAGTAATGAAAGTGACCATGTGAAACCAGTGACCTCGCATCCACATCGTTCTTTAATGGCTGAACTGGCTGAGCAAAAAATGATTCAAGCAGAGGTAGTCATTTCTGATCATGTGTTATTGCATGCGGTCGGTCTTGTTTATGAATTTTAATAAAGCAAGGACAGTAATTGTGGCGGAATAATGATAGCTCCTTCCACATTAATGTTGTACTTTATTGTATTTCGTGTATGCAGCTGATGAGTAACCACAAAATATAGTGAATTCATATTATTCAACCTCAGTTGTCGTCCTTGCTTTATTTAAATCATTGTTTATACCATGCGAAATAACATGATTAATGCGAATAGGGCTAACCCATATAATTCACATCAGAATAGATTCAAATTAGGAAATTATATATTTCGACTTTCTCATATCAAAGTTCTCATTTTAAAATTCATGCTTCGTTGATAAATTTTAATGATATTATTTTTTGACATTGAATCAAAATAATGATTTCTATTTTTTGTGAATCAATTTAGACTGATATAAACATTACCCGCATCCTCTATTTCCATTTTCGCTAGAATAAAACAGTATGTATACGATATTTGTCACTATTTTACTTTAGAACTAGTTATTCGTAGCTAATAAGTTCCACTATTTGTTGTAAAGTAACCTACCTAAATGATTAAAGTTTCCAAACTAATCATGAACACTGTAATACTTGAAAAACATAAGTCATATGCTTAGGACTTACTTTATCTAAATGAGTACCTAAGTGTAAATAAAAACAGCAAAATAAAGGTGTCAAAGAGTTTCATTAAGTGCCACTAACAATAAATACACATTAAGGTAGTAACAGATGATGATAAAATATTTTCTAGTTTTCCTTGTACAAAACTGTAAGCAGCCCACAGCTCAGTATATTTTATTATCCCCTTTGATGATAGACAACAAATACGTCCTTTTTTGCTTACTCCAACCTTCTCATCGGAAGCACTAACAAAGATTTCAAGCCATATTAAACGTAAAGAGTTTGAAAGACTAGGAGTAAGTAAGATATTCCGTTTTAGTGAAAAGGTATGGTCAACCAAGATGAGTGTAGGCAATATTGTTACTGCAACTTATGCACACACGATCCGTTACCTAATCGATCAGTGGAACTATTTTCTTGTAATTTCAGTTAACAGTAAAAAGCAAAAGAGAATACCTTCCCTGTTTAGAACATTATATCAGTCGGATTAGTTGCATTAAATTTCGGGTTTCATTATCATACCACTTTCCTACTGTTTAAAGATAACAAACCTTGTGTATAATTAGAGAATGTATGGTATCTTAAGAAGTTTCTCAGTGCGTTTCAACTAACACAAGCTCATGAGTTGAAATCTACGTAACAGGATCCTTTCATTGACATAAAACTCTATTTTAAATAGTAATTGGGGTCTCCATCTGATAATCTCTTTACCAGATTTCGAAAAGTTCAGTTCTGAAATGATTCATCAGTAATAGTTGACTCAGATCATTTCCACTTACTCTTTTTCCATTTCAGCGGAACTGTTCCTATAAATATTTGTTTGTTAATATTTTTCACAGCAGACATATAATAGAGGTTGGATCACTCTACAGTATATGTCTGTTCGATTTAGTTTGATACTTATCATGTTAAATTAATCTGATTGTGCCAAAATGGTGTGGAACCTTGATGCAACGCACATCTGTTTCAGTTAATCTCGCATTCAGAGGAAGTAAACAGATTGGCTTTTCAAAACAAAAAGGAAGAGTCTCTGTACAAGGTAAAAGCCATATTAGGAAAAGAAAAGAAAATATTCAAGCAGTCAGTTACAACGTAGAATTTCGTGCGTATGTACATCAGTTCAGGTTGCACAGAGACTCCATTGTCACTTCAAATCCCATAGTAGTAGAGGTAGTAAAAGAATAAGCAGTAATCATAGAGATTAGGGTTTCAGAATATTATTCAAGTAGGATAATCATGTGAAATAAACTCAGATAGAAAAAGATAAACGTGATATGGAATCCAGAAGAGTAGGATTTGAGAGAACACAAAGGGTGGGTGTACCTGTGCCATGTTTTGGTTTGGCCGTGCCTAGCTTTCTTCCAACATATTCCTACATCGCAAAACATAGCTCGACAAGGCAGTCGGCGGTTAGGCATACGCATCACAGGCCCCAACCACATCAAGTGATGAGGCTTGAATACTTCATCTATTGATCTGCCATCCTTACCTAATACCCGTATCCTAACAACAGCATTGCTTACTCGGTTGTCCCAGTAACCTATGTATATCTTCGATTCTCACTGGCCATGTTTCACAGTCATAGAGTAGGATGAAGCGAAATGCTGCACAGTACACTCATCCATTGGATGGATGACGGATATCCCAAAGATGACATAAGTAACGCAAGTTGGCAAAAGCCAATTGAGCCTTGTGTATCTGTACTGAGATTTCGTCAGCCACCAGGCCATCAGCACTAACATGCTCAACCGCTTCACTCCTTATCACTAGTTCAGGTGCCGATGCAAACCAATCCTGAAGCAACATTTTGCATTTCGACAGGGAGAATCGCATCCCAAACATGCTTGCATTGTTGCTTCGAGTGATCAGAAGACTGCCTTTTATCAGCGTCTTCACCAAGCAGAACTATGTCATCGGCATATTCTACGTTGAACAGTGAATCTCCTGGTAGAAGGTCCACTCCTGAAAAGTCAGACGGAGATAATATTACATCCAGAAACAGGTCTATGACAAAATTAAACAAGAATGGGGAAAGTGGATGTAACTGACGGACACCACTTGAAGTAACCAATTCCGATGACAGTTCGCCATAAGCTCTCACTCGACCAGTAGTGTTCGAGTAGAGAGCTTTCATAAGGTTTATGTGCTTCTCTGGTTTACGCTTCAATGACAGACACTGTCACAGAACCTCTCAATCAACAGAGTCAGATGCCGTCTTAAGGTCCATGAAGACAACTTTTGTCGGACGTCTAAATGTGTGTCTGTGTTCCAGGACCTGTCGTAGTGTGAATATGTGGTGTATACAACCACATCCGTGTCGTAAACCAGACTGGTTTCCTCGTGTCTGCTGTTCACGAGCTCTAGTTAGGCGTCGAAATATTATCGAGGCTAACAATGTAAAGTCTATGTTACCTAAGCTGATTCCTCTGTGATTATCAAAAGAGGAGTTTTGACCTTTCTTATAATTTGGGATAATCACGTATTGAGCTCAGTCAGACGGGCCTGTGCCCAGATTAATAATGATGATCTAGATAGGACCAGTTTGTAATTTAAATCTTATCTTGATTGGATAATATTTTGAAATGTTTGAAATTTTCTTCTCCAACATCGTTATATCCTGTTGATTTTATGTTTCAGACACAACAGATTCTGTTGTAAATGCCAGTTAAATCCATTTCCTGAAAGTGAAGTGTTTGTATCATCAGTCTGTGCAAAATAAATAGCACTCACAATTATATTAAAAAGTTTCAGTTATTAGATTTTTCAGCATGCTAGAAAGACATAATATTTAGTGGAATTCCATTATATCTGTGAGTGTTGTACTGTCAGTCATTTTGCAACTTGTTTAATTTATAGCTGAATTAACACGATGTATTTTTATTTAATAACTAAAATCTACAAATGTCTATTTCATCAAGGACTTTTTTGGTGAGTAAATCATAACAAGTTCTTCACTGAATGTAATTAGGTTTACATGTGTGGTGATCTTGAAATGATATTTCAACATGGTACTGTTTTTATATTTATAATCAATAAAATGCCGTTTATTGGAATATAATTGATTATTAACGCACTCTTATTATTATTAACACTAATAATATAATGTTGGCCACTAATTACAATATATTTGTAGTAAAAATAAACTCATGTTATTTTACTATAAACAATACAAACATGCTGTTGAAATCCGAAAATAGAATAAGTATAATTTTATTAGTTTCTCCTCACCTTGTTTCACTGTTTGATAAATGTTAACAAATAAGTTTAGGAACAACATATATAAGCGAACAATATTGTTTTCAATTAGATCATCATGTGTGTAATTCATATGTCATGTTAGCCTTTATGTTTAGTGGTTTATTGCAAATGAAAAATGTAGCACCTGTCAATTTATTAAAATAAGATTAAATAATGAATAGAAGACCTAATCTGGTAAAAAAAATTCATCTATTTGTTAGGTGATTCAAATTAGCGTTAAATTCATGATACTAAATATTCAGTTCCAAAACTAAGTATCTTTAAAACCTGTAACTTAGTAAACAGTTTCTATTTGCAAACTAAATGCATAGATTTAGAACAATTTAATTACATTCTTGTACAACTTATCTATCGTGTCATAACTTGTTAGCAAATATGTAGTGTCCTAATTTCCTACTCTTCAATTTATGAGTGTTTTTTCACCGCTTAATATACAAGTTTTATGTAAAAGATTTGCAAAAAACTAATTGTATTGCATTGATCTTTTAGAACTATAGTTGTTTGCCACCGACGTTGGAGGATGATGATGACGTTGAATTTGAAATGGATGACAATGCATATATGGCTTACTTATCATGTTTTGATCAAGATATTCTTGCAGATAGTTCAGTACCATCGAACTCAAACGATACTCCATTGGAATCTTGTAACATAAACACGAAGGAAGCATTTATAAATGAGCTGAGGTCAGAGGTAACAGAAGTAAGTTTCATTTGGTTGCATTGCGTTGTTTGAGAAATAGCTTTGTTGGTACTCTTATATTCCATTCATTAGAAATTCTTAATACTAGAAATTTAAAAAAATGATCATATTTTACTGTTTGAAGTAAATTAAACTGATGTCTTTTTCAAGCCAATGCATTAATCGTACTGTAAAAACGTAGTCAAACTAAATTTACGTAATGTTTTTCATTTAAAAATTCCAATTTAACGCAAAGTAGGTAACATAAAAGTTGGTCATAACACTTTAACAAACACTGATTTCCTGTTAAAAGTGCATTATGTAACTAAGTAATGTAAACGCTCATTTGAAAAGTTCCATGAATTCTTTTAGAATTTCGCACTAATCTTGTATTCTTCAAAGTATAATTCGCTAATCGGTACAAGTTGATGATGGGTTTCTAATGATTCTGTATATTTTAAACTCTGTAATTGTGAACTTTCTATTTTCATTCGAAAGAATGTTCTCATCATCAAATTCCAGGATACATACATAAATGTTTATTCTGAAAATTACTACACAATTCAGGACGGGCATGGTCAGTAAGATAGATAGCAACAATAAATGTGAAGGATGGGTATATGGTTATTATTCAAAAACTGCTTACGTAGTACATTTTTCCACATGGATTACAACATTCATAAGAGAACGGTGAGACTAAAAGCAGCTACTCAAGGTCTGAGAACGAAGTCGTAGTGCACACTGTAGAAGGGTTTGACAGCAGTAAGGTGTTTCCCTAGGACAACCAACACCTGCAGGGTTATGAAGGGGTTGACAAAGGTCGACCCCGAAAATGTCACTCCTCACATTACCTGATGAATTTCCATCTCCGTGAGTAAGGCCATTTGAAGAGCTTAGCTAACATGTCAACTTCCTATAACAAGGCCGTGCTTGACCAGCCTGAAGCAGTTTTCCCTTGTGCTTTGTGGTTACGCTCCCGTGTCTCCAAGACCAACACTAATCCAATTTCGGTTTCAAGTTTCTCAAGAAACACCGTTCCATGGTGTGGGCAACCAGGAAGTAAAATTCTCTCGTAACAGCATACGAGACCAAGCTACTCAGAATCAAATCCCCCCGCTGCTTTTTAATAACCCTATTACCTTCATGGCCAAGCATTCTCACGCTTATTTCTCACCTCGCACCCCTAACGCAAACGATTGAAGTACGCGAAACGTTATATCTGGTCTTCTGAATCCCCGTCGTAAACTAAATATTGGAGCGTTTAGTGTTCGAACCTTATACCTAATAAGTGAACAAAGTAAACGATGAATTTTACCTAAAACCTTCTAACCTTCTTCAAACAGTTAGGCGCTCTGATGTAGTAATAATGGCTGGTGACTTCAATGCTCAAGTAGGTAGACTAAGTGTAAAGGAAAGAGATACCTAGGTGGATACTATGGTGTCGTTGCTCAAAGACCAGATAATGGTGACCATCTGTCGCAACTATGCTCAGAAAATCGCCTATTTATAGCAAGTAATAACTTTAAGCATAAGGAGAAACATCTCTTGAGCTGGTGACCCCTGAAGACGACCCAACATTGGACCCAAATACAGCACATTGCTATCAGTCTTCTATGGAGAGGCTCCATTGAAGACTGCCACTCATTCTTGAGCACTTGTTTACATTCAAAGCATGATCTAGTGCCAGCCTGCATTCGATTGCGGCCTATTAAACGTAGGAAAGACACAGCAAGTAAACCTCTTGTGGTTCTACCTAATAGTAGCATAGCTATGAATATATTCCAGTAGCAACTATAAACTCAGTTAGTAAGCGATGTGAGAGATACGAGACCATCTCAGCAATGACAGGCATAGTAATCTAGGGATTGAATCGATGGGTAGAGCACTTTAGGGATCGGTTCAACTGGCCTTCAGCAACATTTTGGTTACCGACGATCTACCACCCAAATGAATGGAAAATCACCCAACGTCCTCGGGCTCTTTATGATGTTGAGGAAACTATAGCATATCTCAAACGAGAGAAAGCAGCGTGCCCTAATATATTGACCCCTGAGATTTTTAAGGATGATGGTCTAGTTTTAGCAGTTAGATTGACTGAGATCTTAGGTAGAATTCTGAGACTGGACGTAATCCTATCCGACTGGCCTCAATCCCCGACTGTCCCAATTTATAAGAAAGGTAAAAACTCCTCATCTGATAATCACAGAGGAGTCAGTCTAGGTAATATAGACTTTACATTGTTAGCCTCGATAATATTTCGACGCCTAACTAGAGCTCGTGAACAGCAGACACGAGGAAACCAGTCTGGTTTACGACATGAATGTGGCTGTATACACCACATATTCACACTACGGAAAGGTCCTGGAACACAGACACACATTTAAACCTCCGACAAAAGTTGTTTTCCTGGACCTTAAGACGGCATTTGACTCTGTTGATTGAGAGGTTCTGTGACAGTGTCTGTCATTGAAGCGTAAACCAGAGAAGTACATAAACCTTATGAAAGCTCTCTACTCGAACACTACTGGTCGAGTGAGAGCTTATGGTGAACTGTCATCGGAATTGGTTACTTCAAGTGGTGTCCGTCAGTTACATCCACTTTCCTCATTCTTGTTTAATTTTGTCATAGACCTGTTTCTGGATGTAATATTATCTCCGTCTGACTTTTCACGAGTGGACCTTCTACCAGAAGATTCACTGTTCGACGTACAATATGCCGATGACATAGTTCTGCTTGGTGAAGACGCTGATAAAATGCATTCTTCTGATCACTGGAAGCAACAATGCAAGCATGTTGGGGATGCGATTCTCCCTGTCGAAATGCAAAATGTTGCTTCAGGATTGGGTTGCATCGACACCTGAACTAGTGATAAGGAGTGAAGCGGTTGAGCATGTTAGTGCTGATGGCCTGGTGGCTACGGATACACAAGGCTCAATTGGCTTTTGCCAACTTGCGTTACTTATGTCATCTTTGGGATATATCCGTCTGCTAACCAATGGATGAGTGTACTGTGCAGCATTTCGCTCCGTCCTACTCTATGACTGAAACATGGCCAGTGAGAATCGAAGATATACATAGGTTACTGGGACAACCGAGTAAGCAATGCTGTTGTTAGGATACGGGTATTAGGTAAGGATGGCAGATCAATAGATGAAGTATTCAAGCCTCATCACTTGATGTGGTTGGGACCTGTGATGCGTATGCCTAACCACCGACTGCCTTGTCGAGCTATGTTTTGCGATGTAGGAATATGTTGGAAGAAAGCTAGGGGCGGCCAAACCAAATCATGGCACAATTCTATGAAGTCAGTGACAAAGGGAATTTGTCATGTTGGTAGGTGCAGACAATCTGATTGCCGCCCGCGCAGTAACCGATATCTATAGACGCTGAATGGCGCTGCTGATAACCGTTTTCGACTTTGCAGGCTAATCTATTCTTTGCGTTCTCTCACATTCTAATCTAAACGCTTCATGACCTTCATCTCTTATTTCAAGTCAATCCCACTGGATTTCTCTTTTTAATATTATTTCATGAATGTGATCTTTCTGATTACTGCTCATACTTCTACTTCTTCTACCACTATTGGATGCAATTGACAATCGTTTTTCGCTGATAATGTGGTCTGGCAACTTGAACTGATGTACGTACATACGAAGTTCTACGTTGTAGCATACTGACTTCTAATTGGACGAGGTTTTTTTGCTTGGGAGTAGTATGTTCTCGATACCAGCAAGCTCTATTCGCAGTCGAAAGCATTAATAAGCTGACTTTTTAGAAGTATTTCTGTGTCTAAAATTTTGTTATTTGAAGTTTCAAAATATTTTGTTTTATACCTGTCCCGATAGTTTCCTCCCAGGAAATTTTGTTGCAGGACTGCAAATTCGAAAAGTGAACTTGTGGGGTCCATTTATCTGCGTGTTCGGATAGCGCCTGACGGTTTATAAATCAGAATGCGGATTCGAAGTATGAATACGTTTATATTTTGGACACACCACATAGCGAAGTTGAAAAGCAGCGAACGGATAGGCGAAGCGCGTTGGAGAAGGCTAAGAGCCAACTCAAAGAAATGGAGCATGACTAAGAATATTTAGTCAGACAAATATAAGACAGACATGCAACAAGCGAAATAGGGACACATGAAGAAAAGCGACGAATGATTGGCAAGGTCAAATAACAAGTGGAACCCATCATGTGAGCTCATATAAACCAGACATTAAGACAGAATGGTGCATATAAGTTGTTGCTACGGGAATGGCTTGGTTAAATAGATTAATCGAAAGGGCTTAACCAAGCTAGTTGTAAGCAAACTCGAATATATGTGCAGGCACTACAAACTGCAGTTTTTTATTCAACGATTTTTTTTAATACTAATTCCAGATTTATCAACAGATGAACAAAATGTGTGTGGAACTATGTGCTCTTACTGGAATGAAACAAGAACCACTCAGCAAAGTTGGTACTCATACTCCTGATGAATTGGCTATGGTTGAAATGGATTTCCGCTTAGGCTCATTACGTTCTGTACTGACTGATTTACGTGGACTACTGAGAGATTTGAGAATTGAAATTCCAGAACAGTCTACATCATCAAACCCATCGAAGGAAACGGTACTATCGAATGGAAATAAATCAGAGACAGTTGAAGTGAGTAACTCTAGTGTGATTATTCAGTACATTTCAATTTTCAATGACATTTTATTTCTCCCTCACTTTAACTATTAATTGTTTGAGTAATAGAAATGAATGCTATATCCATTTTTTTATTTATGAATAGTAAAAATAATGATTCGCTATTAAATAACTGAATGTAATGTTTAAGCAAATAATATCGATGAAAATACGATGGTCGACCTTTATTTCACTGGTCATTTTCACTTCTGTTCAAAAAAATTATGATACTAACCAAATTTTGTAACTGATGATATTTGACGTAATTTTTCTGTCAATCTATTTTATCACAGTGTAGTTGCATGGTTTAAAATATAGGAGATTTCCAAATTTTTCAAACTGTCCGTTCGTATAAAGAGGTTTTTGATTAACTTTCACACTGGAAATTCGTTTCTAATGTTCAGTTAGTTCTTTTGTACTTATAAATCAGCCTCCAATTTCTTTTATAATATCTCCTTATGATAAAGCAGCTTTTTCGAATATTCTGAAAAATCTAGATTAATTTAGTTTTATGGTAAATTTTTGGTGTTTTGCATAGTGGGAGTATGTCAGATGTAATTCTTCATTAAATTTTTATCTGCTTATGTAAAATAATTAATTATCAAGCGTTCTTGTAAGATATTCAAGATATTAGTTGTTTTAAATCAACAAGGAAATCAAAGTGTTTCTATTGATCCTGGTTGGTGTTAAAAATCATGAGATTTATTGTTTCTGTAAAATATTTATTTCGAGGAATTTTAGTTGTTTAAACACTGAATACATTTTCTGGAATATCATAGCTATTTGCATCACTGTTTTGCGTGCAATAACTGACAAGGATCATTATCGTCTTCTCACTATCACAGTCAATTTTTGTGAAAATTTACTTGATTCACCGAATAAGATTGAACAGGTGATAATTTGCGACTAATAGATATATACTATGAACATAAAACTAGATCAATAAGACGGTAAGCCGAAACATCATTAAATCGATCAGTAATGAATGCCGTTATTGGTGCTTGAAAGAGCCAATAAAGAATTGTCAACAAAAAAATCATTAGTTCAGACGACAGTAAAATAATGAACCTAGAGGCTTTTTTTAGGAATTCTAGTTTTTGATGCACCTTTAGAATGGAAGAGAATTTAATTTAATTTATTTACTAATAATGATAAACTCTACTTTAAAAAAAAACTCTTCTTGTTTAGAGATCAGCGTATTATATTTATCAAGAAAATTTAGTTTAGAAACAGTTGAGCATAAGTAACAACGTTACTGATTATTTAGTTACTTATGCCTGTTATCCCCAACAGAGCATAGGCCGCCCACCATTATTCTCAAACCTACTCCGTCCTGGGCATCCCTTTCTAGTTCTGTCCAACTTTTGTTCATTATTCTCATGCCTGTCTCCATTTATCGGAGAGATGTGTTCCTTGGCGTATCTCTTTTCCTTTGTCCTTGAGGGTTCCCAGTGAGGGCTTGTCTTGTGATATAGTTGGGTGCTTTTCTCAGTATGTATCCTATCCGCTCCCAGCGCTTCTTCCTGATTTCTTCCTCCGCTAGAATCTGGTATCTTCTCTCCCATAATAGATTGTTGCTGATGGTGCCTGGCCATCACATCCGAAGTATTTTGTGTAGACAACTTTTAATGAATATTTGAATCTTTTGGACGATGGCTTTCGTAGTTCTCCAAGTTTCCGCCTTATGCATTAGATATGTTTTGACGTTTGCATTGAAAATCCTGATTTTGGTGCTGGTTGATATTTGTTCGGAGTTCCAGATGTTGTCCAGTTGTAGAAATGCAGCCCTTGCTGTGCCGATCTGCGCGTTCACTTCTGCATCTAATCTGTCAGCTGTCCTCCGTGCACGATTTTGAAGTTAAGTCCGTCGTAAGAATCCCGTATGATGTCAATCTACCCATAGTGTCGAAGAAGCCTCCATAGTGTTGTTGTGTCCACGCTATCGACTACCTGATCATAGTCAATGAAGTTGATGTAGAGTGGTGATTTCCAATCCATTGATTGTTTCTCAATGATCCGTAATAAGGCGATTTGATTGGAACACGATCTATCCTTACGAAATCCAGCCTGTTGATCTCGAAGTTAGGCGTCTACGAAGTCCTTCATTCTGTTTAACGATACCCTGTTGAAGGCTTTGCCTGGTATTTAGGGACGAGTGATGCCTTTGTAGGTTTTGCACTTACTGATATCTCCTTTCTTTGGTATTTTGACGAGGTATCCTTGTTTCCAGTCTGTTGGTACTTGTTCTTCATCCCAAATCTTGCTGAAGAGAATTTGTAATATCTTTTCAGTTACTGCTACGTCTGCTTTCAGTGCATCTGCTGGAATGTTGTATGGTCCCACTGCTTTGCCACTATTGATTTTTCTGATGGCCAAGCTGATCTCTTCAATTGTTCATGGGCCAAGATTGATTGAGATGTCCGCGGATGCTGCTTTGATGTTTGGTGGGTTCAGTGAGGCTGGTCGATTCAAGAGTTTCCTAAAGTGCTCTACCCACCTGTTTGTCTGGGCTTCAGTGTTGCCGATTACTTTGCCTTCCTTGCTTATTGATGGTCATTCTGGTTTACGATGGTTTCCAGAGAGCTTTTTTGTTATATCATGTTCCCTTTTTTCAGCCTTTTAAACCGCGATTGCTAGATCTTTCGCATATTTTCGTTTGTCTGCTCTGATGCTCCTCTTCACTTGCTTGTTTGTTTCTGTGTTTTCAGCTTGTACCTTGACTTTTTCTGCTCTAGTTCTGCTGATGTTGATTGCTGCTCTCTTGTTCCCTTTTCTTAAATCTTATCCAGTGTGCCAACAGAGATCCATTCTATGTGGTGATACTTCTTGTAGCCCAGATATGTAGTGATTGCCTCCTTGATCTCCTTCCAATCTTACTCCACGGTAGTTTCTTTTCCATTGAATGGAGCTTGAAAAACCTGGAACCGATTGCTGAAGGATATCTTGAATTTGTTGAGTTTTCCAGTATACCGAAGAAAGGATATTCCATAGAAAGATAACTAATTAATATGATAAAATATTCTCCCTTCGTCAGGTCTTAGAACATAGACACACATGGAGACGTCCGACAATAGTTTTATTCCTCGGTCTTAAGGCGGTGCTGTTTTTCATTGAAAGGACTGCCAAACAAGTACATCAGTCTTGTATAGGCTCTCTATTCGAACGCTGTTGGTCGACTCCAAACTTATGGAGAACTGTCATCGGAATCGATAACTTTAAGTAGTATGTCAGCGTTTTCCACTTTCTCCATTCTTATGGGACTTTGTCATTGACATACTTTCAGAGACGACAATTTGATTATCTGACTATTCAGAAGTTGATCTTCCACCATTAGACTTGCTTATTGACTTAGAGTATGCCGATGACACAGTTTCATTTGACGAAGAGGCTAGTAAAATGCAATGTTCTGATCACCTTAAACAAAAATGTAAGCATGTTCGGCATGCGACTGACTTTCATCGGCGCCCTAACTAGTGATAGGGAGTGAAGTAATCGGGCGTGTTGTAATAGACCTGCTTCTGGATGTAATATTATCTCCGTCTGACTTTTCAGGAATGGACCTTCTACCAGGAGATTCACTGTTCGACGTAGAATATGCCGATGACATAGTTCTGCTTGATGAAGACGCTGATAAAATGCATTCTTCTGATCACTGGAAGCAACAATGCAAGCATGTTTGGGATGCGGTTTTCCCCGTCGAAATGCAAAATCTTACTTCAAGACTGGGTTGCATCGGCACCTGAACTAGTGATAGGGAGTGAAGTAGTCGAACGTGTAGACCGCTTCACTTATCTGGGGAGTCTCATTAGTACTAATGGCGTGGTGACTGACGAAATCTCAGCACGGATACACAAGGCTCGATAGGCTTTTGCCAACTTTCGTCACTTATTGCGTCGGTGGGATATCCGTCTGCTAACCAAAGGATCAGTGTACTGCGTAGTAGTTCTCTCCGTCCTACAATATGGATGTGAAACACGGCCAGTCAGAATCGAAGGTATTTGTATGTTGCTGGTTTTCGATCATAGGTTTCTGCGAAGCACTTGTCGTTTTTATACTGGGACAAAGAAGTAAGCAATGCTGTTTTTCGAAAACGGGTACTAGTTAATGATGATTGATTAATAGATGAAATGTTGAGACTTCGTCAGTTGATGTAGTTGGGACATGTGTTCCGAATGCCCAACCACCGACTGCCCCGTCGAGGTATATTTTACGGTGTAGGAATAGGTTGGAAGAAAGCTAGGGACGGCCAAACCAAAACATTGCACAAATCCATGAAGTCATTATCAAGTTGACTAAGTGATGTTTGCTGGTGCAGACAACCTGGTTTGGGCGCGTAATGTGGTGATAGTAACCGATGGTTAGAGACCTGAACGACATGGCTGAAAATCGTTTGCGATGGCGTAAGTGCATCTCTTTGAGTTTTCTCTAATCCTAATCTTCTGAATTCCTCACGACCGTTTTTTCACTCTTTTTTTGATTGATTCTTTGTTGCTTATACATCTGGAATGTTATATTCTATCATTTATCTTTTTGATTACTGCAGATGCTTGTGCTACCAATCGAGCAGGTTTGCAAAAGGCTCGACTGGCTTTTGCCAACCTGCGTCACCTATGGCGCAGGCGAGATATCCGCTTGCTAACCAAAGGACGAGTGTACTGTGCAGCAGTTCGCTTCGTGCTACTATGCGCATGCGAAACATGACCGTTAAGTGTAGAGGACTTTCGTAGGTTACTAGTCTTCTATCATCGATGTCTCCAAAGCATTGCTCGTGTATCCTGGGACGACCGTATAAGCAATGCTGTAGTTAGGAAACGAGTTCTAGGTAGGGACGGCAAATCAATAGAGGAAGTATTGAAACTTCATCAGTTGAGGTGGTTGGGACATGTGTTACGTATGCCTAACCACCGACTGCCTCGACGAGCTATGTTTTGCAGTGTAGGAGTAGATAGGAAGAAAGCTAGGGTCGGCCGAACCAAAACATGGCAGAAATCGATGAAGTCACTGACAAGTGGACTGAGTGATGTTGGTAGATGTAGGCTACCTGGTTGGGGTCGGCGAGACGAAAGTCACCGATGGTTAGAGACCTTGAATGACATGGCTCAGAATCGTTTGCAGTGGAGCAGATGCATCCACTCTTTGTGTTCTATGAAATTCTAAGCTTCTGCATTCCTCATAATCTCTACCTTTCTCCTTCTAAATTTATTATACTTAATTATACTTCTCGAATCATATCTTCGCCCCCTAATCTTCTCCATTACTGCTAATACTTCTATTATTGCTATCACTCTTGGATTTGAACTGACAGTTGCGTGTTTGTGCTGATGGTGCATGGCAACTTGAACTGATGTACTTACGTACGAAGTTCTGCGTTTTATCTCTCTGTCTGTGCTACCTCTACTAATGTGGGATTGGAATCGACAATGCGATTTCTGTGTCAATGTGGCATGGCAACTTGAACTGATGTACGTACGTATGTATATACTTACAAAGTTCTACGTTGTAACTGACTAATTGAATCGCGTGTACCCAAATCTTCGTTGCAACTGACTGACGGACTATTTGTTTGTATACCTATATTTAGTTAAAATATTGTCATTTTGACAAGCTGCTATAATAAAATTAGTCCCGAAATCATTGATTTCCAACTGAATCTGATTCAATTATTTTTGATTAATGTGCATCTCAAACCACTTCGATTAACCAATTTATATAAATACTGAAGCTAATTATTCATATGATTACTACAAGCCAGTATTTGTGATACTCATAGGGTGCGTATACCTACTTTCTATACTTATACTTCCTTATCTGTTTGATTTGATTTTTTCTGCTGTTTTTAAATCAGATCGTAAAAAAGCTAACTGTTTGTTTTGGTAGTGTGTACACCATAGGTTTGACAGTAAAACTGAATTTGGATTCTAAAGGTATCATTTTAACACAGTTTTTCTTTTTATTTACTGTTTCAACAAAGTGTGCATAAAAATACGCCTTCAAATGAGTTGTGAAGATACGCGTTGAAATGTTCGCAAATTAAGTTTATTCGAAAATGATCGCTGATTTTACTATCATCAATTCAGAGTTTTTTTTGTTTGTTCAATCTGGTTGAAATGCCTCATAACTATGAAGTGAAATAATAGTGTCTCTCAATTTTTAGGCTCTTTTTGAGCTAGGCCGCGTCATATTTACAGTACAAAAAAATTATGAACGTCTTCTAAACAAGTATAAAAACTTGTTTCATCACTGACACAGTGGATTAGGGCGTTCGTCTGTTTACCGAAACGTTGACAATCCGACCTTATTTGAAGGCGAAAGGTACTCTTCTGAAGTAGTGACTTAATAATTGGATATTCGAAGTTCAATGACTAAGTTTCAGATTTGTGTTCCAGTCTAACTGCTTCGGTTTGAGTAATTGGCTAGTTTTAATAATCCTTACACTTCGAGCGTGTCATGTAGCTGAATTCCTGGTAAGTAGGTTAATGGATTTCAGAGTTCGAAATTTTTCCCTTGAACATAGCTTTGCAATGGTTTTGAACAGAGGTCCTATAAACCGAGTTTTAGCAACAACTTATTATGTTCCAAAACACTCATTTTCAATTTCGATCCAAATACAAGCCTATATAAATTTCTCTCGATTCACTATTCTCATTCATTATATAAAAATATTAATAGGACAATACGAAATGAGAAAACATCATCTAAAATTTCAATTTCGTGGTTCATAATAGTATATCAAATTATTATGACAATAGTTAACGGAATATGTAAAAATGAGCGCCAAACTGAAAGAGGGAATCACTGCTAGTTTTTTTTATTCTGTTTGATTAAGTTTAATAATTTTTCAATGTATTTTGGTGAATTTTATCGTTGATTTAGCTTCTTCGAACGTCCGATTCAACCAATGAACAGAATCCAATTTCTAATTATGAAATAGAATGTCAGCTTGTTCGTTCAGAGTAAGTAATCCGAAGAAAGATTATGTTGATTTACAAATAAACATGATTATTACATTACAAATATAGATGTTTTATTCAATAATGTCTATTATGGGGTTGTATAGATTGTTGAGTTACTTTAAAATCATAACTCGATCAATGCTAGACCACCATTAAAAACCTAGAGGCACTGGACGGCCATTTTATAGTGGTTTGGGACTCATTGGCAGTACGCAGTAACATCATCGGAGCTTATGTGTTCACGTGCAAGACTGAATGTCTTGGGTCTAATTATCACGGGCAGGAGTCGTGGATGCGCGCTTCTGATGAGTCCCATACTAGGACATAACGGCCGTCCACTGCTTCCAGGTTTCTAATGGTGGTCTTATATTGATCGATTCATGATTTTAAATAATAACGGATGCAAATTTTGTTCCAGTAATTTTTTCACAACTTTTACGACAATGGATGTAAATCGTTGTTTGGGATGTTAGATCCCCAGGACTTGTTTGATGAATGTCTTTATTTTGGATTTTATTCACGTACTGATCAGTTGACCTTGAGATCACATTTCCCACCAGGAAAGGCCTTGGCTGTGAATGGTTACTGTGGTATTTTGTGACTCTCTCAATGACGTCTCTTTGGTGTATGAATAAACGCGATTTGTGTGTTTGGGTTCGTTGTGTGCTGGCTGGGTGTTTGTAGAATACAATTTTCTACGCTATATCAAGACTTCTCGTTAGTACCTTGGTGCTCAACGGATCAGAGTGGCCTAGCTGGCCGCTAGTTCATTGTCTCGTTCTCGTTTATCGACTAAAGTGAATCCGTAATAGTTTTAAGCATACCTAGTGGTGAGTGTAACAATAGTATTGGTATATTAACCTGTTACAGTAATCAAACGATTGCTTAGCTATGATTTCGTTTGCGAAATGGTGTCCCTAATTGGCAATCGTTTTTTTTTATAAACACTGCATACTCAAAGTAAGTGATGAACAAAGTAATTTAAGCATTTCTGTTCACTTTTTCTTATTACAATCCAAAACAATAATAACCTTTATATTATTTAGTTATTCTCTATATTTTGCCTGTAAATTTTTTAATGACACTAGACGTGATGCACTGGCAGCTGAACTATTGAATGCACAACAAGAACTTCTTGAACTGAAAAGTCAAATTGAAAACGGTCCAGGAAACGATGGTGAAGTGCAAAATTGGCAAAATACCAAAGGAAATAATTTTACAGCTAACTGGGAGGTAATTGAGTTTTTCGTCTCTCATTTAAACTTTTAGATACGTGATATATCCTAATTCCCAGCTTTTTTAAGTATTTTATAGGAAACCTGGTTAATGAATTAAGAGGAAGAATCATAAAAAAGATAACATCTGCTTAGTTCTCAAAATCGAAATCTCTGAAATGATAATTACTTGTTAATGCTACGAATATCTTCATCGTAATGTCTTATGATTTGTGCTAATTACCGTGAGCGTTTAGTATTACCTTTGTTCGGTGATCAGATACATAATAACACTGAAGATATATGAGTCCTCGTAAATTCAGTGAATATTAGTTTTGGTTTATTTGTTTGTGCATTGACTTACTGCAATAACTAAGTGTTATTCCGAAATCATCGATTGGTGAATGCTGAAATGGGTACACACTGGATGATCGTTTAACAAAGATGGAAGAACGTGTAATTGTGCTTCTCAGAAAATCAGAAATCACAAGTATGCTACTTACATTGTTTCAATAGTACATCTGCCTTCAAAACATTTTAGCTGTTCAAATAGTAAATAAACTGGCCAAAAAACTTCATGTATAAAATTTGATCAAAACTTATGGAGTATTCTTCTATATTCATAAATGGATTTCATTATCTTAACTGCTTTCCGTGCGATAAGAAGGATAATGTACAAATTTACAACAGAGATATTGTCACTTGAAATCACGCATGAGTGTACTTTGGAGTTGAGTTATTTTATTCAGTCTAAACTTCATTTTACTAGTCTTTTTTATTCTGGATATTTTCCCTCTCATGGTGAATTTATGCCGAATATATTACGTTATGTAACGTTAGAACGAACTCACTGAAACGGTAACTAATTCTAGATGTTCATTTCCCGTACGATGACCTGATTACTTCGTTCTGGGTAATAATTTACCATAGAAGTTTTTTACATTAGAATGCAAAAGTTTTATAAATCTATTATTCATTACGTCACTTTGCTGCTTACTTTTTTCAGGAGTTCGAAGAAGAAAAATATGAATTTGAAATGCCTCTCTAAGTTATTCAATTTCATTGAATATGGTATAACTCTGAGCTGTCATACTTGTTTTGCATAATGTAACAAAATATTTGCTTCCTGTTTTTCTTCCTCAATTGTGTGTATGTGCGTATCATTTTGCAGTACAATGAACATGATTATAATTATCATCTCCACAGACAGCTAAATCAATTTACTATCAATTTGCTTTTCTTCTTATAAAAATATTCTGTGATCTCAAACTGATTGCATTTAGCATTCTTTTTTTTTATACTTCCTATTATTTATACTTTTATCATCAAATATTCAGTGGTTTGAAATTAAATATATGCTATTCAAACATGAAAACTTAGTGTCGTTTTTTTCACATTATCACAGCTAACTATTTTTAAAATATGCTTATCACTTTGACAAACAATAGAGTGAAATAGTTATTTCAAAATAGAATACTATGTATTATTATGAGTTGTTATTCTATTGATTGAAAAATTCGTTTCGTTCAACAAAGACTAATTTTCTAAACTATTTATTGTTTTGCAGTTAGAATTGTTTGTTAAATCCGATAGTTCAACTAAAGGTATATTATTTTAAACGATTGTTAAGCAAACTTTTATTGATTTAGGTGGATTCTATTTAATCCACGAAATTGACCTACTAATAATGCTAAATAATTTAAATGAACCTTTTGTGTAATGCAGCATATTGGCAGTGATACTAATCACTGTTGACCTACTCGTGATGAAAGTTGTTGACACGTGTAACAGATTTTGTAAAAATTCATCTATTTTTGTCAGAAAACTTTTCATAAACATTTAATTTTACGTCATAGTTGTCAAATTTTCATGGAACCTCTTAGGTGAACTATAACTATGTATACTGTTTTAGCAATCGCAAACAATTAATCATGTGAAGGAACTCACTGTCGTTTGTCAATAACGATAATAATAACTCTTAAATAAGAACGAACAGTTCCTCTAAAAAACTATCTCGGTTTTTCAAGCTATTTCCCTTCTTCAAAAATTTAAGCAAAGCAAGAACCATAACATTTGCAGTATAAGAAGAATTTATCCTACTTCACTGCATTCTCTTCAATTACATACAAGCTGATATGCCTAATTATTTCTAATTAATAGTAAACCGGCGGAGTGTATACATATTGCATACAACTCTCTTTGAACATAGCTAGGGTTAGAATCATCAACAGGGAATATGAAGACATCATTGAATGATATGGAATCGGCGAAAAGAATGCGAACGGTGAAAGATTCGTAAATGTATGTGGCTTAAAAAAATGTTTACAGGTAGCACTAAGTTCCCTCTCAAAAAGTCAAACACATTGGACACAGGCTGAAGAAAAGGGATTAGCTTCGAAAGAGCTGATGTTGTGCTTCGCCCATATAGAAGGATATACCTCACATACCCAAAGAGTTAAACTGATGCTATCAGAACAGGCCTGAAAAGCACTAACAGGATGGAAATCTCATGGAACAAGTATAATCAAAGCATACTTCAAAACAAAGGAATGAGTTACAGTGCTACGCGCTTACCAGCGATAACAATGAAGGCTATTGACATCAATTTTACGAGTCTGAAGCCTACTGTAGGGTAATACCCATTTTGGTGGGAAAACTAAACTTTAAGGTTAGGATGAACAACACTGAATATTAAGATATCATACGACGACATGGACTGAGAGAAAGGAACAGAAATGATGCGAGGTTCTCAAATCTATGTGACTTCAACAAAATGGTGTTTATTATCAGTTGCTCACGCAAGATACTCCTCATCCGTTGGCCAGACACCATCAACTACAACCTACTATGCCACAGAACAAACCAGATTCCATCTAAGCAATAAATTAGGAAAAAGGGCTGGAAGTGGATAGGACACATTGAGAAAACCACCCAATTACGTCACAAGACAAGTCCCAACTTGGTCAAGGAGGTCAAAGAAAAGGAGGCGGGACGAAGGTCATATTGCACCGAGATGAACAGCGTTTGAAAACAACATGAAAAGAGTTAAGGACAGATTTGGATGGAGAGTCCTAGTCAGTGGCCTGTGCTCCATTAAAAGTAACAAGCATAAGTAAGTAATAACAACTTTAAATTCAATTGATAGTAAGTTATGTGTAGTGTGGAAGAAGTTAAGAGTTATAATTTTAAGAAATGAATCTTTTTATCTTTATTAAGGATAATAGTTCTAGAATGTCACTGGCAATTTTATCGATCAATTTCATACCATTTTAAAATTTTCAAAAAGAAATGTGGTTGAATGAGATTAACTCACTATATTGTGATTACATTTGGTTGAAAAAAGAGAGAGGTTACAATATTTCCAAAGTAGTCGAAGGCTTACTACCGACTCTTCTTGAGTACAATACTATAGCTTCTACGAATTTTCGTAACATGAAATCGGGTTGAGTGCGTTTAACGACTTTGCAGATACTCATAACCTGGCAACCTTGTAATGCCTTACGGTTCACAAATAAGAAGTCAAAAATGAGGGGGTTCGAAGATGGATTTTGAAGATATCTGACTCATCGAAAATAGTGATTTAAGTTCTCTAGCTGTTGTAAAAGATGTGCTACACAGCGTGCCTAGTAATGATCTAGTTTGCGTGAACGCTTTCAGATGGGGGTATGCCCATTATAACTCATGAATTCAGCCTTACTGTTAAAATACTGTTTTGTAATATTACTTACTCGACTAAATATTTCATCAATTTCCGACACAAACATTTGTAAAGTAGACGACTTAACTTCGAAAACTGTTTCAGGGATGTTACTTAGAAGCAACTGAAATTGTCTAATCAGACCGACGTCAACAAAAGCTCGAGATTTGTGATAATGATGTTGTTCAGAAAGATTGTGAGAGCTTCACTATACAACTCAAGAAACACTGCTCATCCAGAAGTACGTTTCTTTAAAAGTTAGGCCGAGCGTTTGGTGTAGCTATGACAGCGGTTTCGTTAGGTGAGCATACTCTGAATCGATATTCTCCAACTATTGTCAGTTATCTCCTATTTATTTGATTTAGGAATTTTCCAGAATATATTATAGTGGAATACTCGTACGAAGAGAACGCGATTGCTTCGATAGAAACACTCATTTTTATAACCAGTGGTCCTTTAACTGTACTTTTTGTTTATAACACGTTTTTACACGCAACTTTCTGTCTGTGTTGCAGTCATCTTTGCTGTAGCTGCTCTTTAATTTACCCACTTTCCTGGTTTGATTTCGGTGTTCTTTCGGCATAAAGAAACCGCCAGCAAATATATTCTATACACTGGGTTTATTTAAATTCTCAGTGATGGGTTCGTAATTAGTGTCGAGTGATGATCATAGTCAATCTCAACTCAGTCACCACTAAAATATCATACCATCAAACGAACACTTCAGGTTGTTGAAAGGGAAGAGATAACATTACTGCGGAAGATAGATTGATTTATTGAGGGATAACAATTTACAGCCTACTTCGGCTATATAATGTAGGAAACACACTTGCAAATAGTGACTTAAACGACTAGAAAATATAAAAATGCGTGCCATCAAAAAGTTAGTGTGGACAGCTACTAGTTTGAAATGAGGGACGGGATACTACAACACCACAATCTTATTGCTTATTATTAACCCAACTTGTACTCCAAATTCTTCAACTCTGAATACATAGTGATTTTAAAATTTTGGGGGTGAGGTAATACAGTATCCTGACATCTCAAGACTTGAATGGAACATAAAAACAGAACCATTAGGGACAACTACCCTCTCAAAACCCGCAGATGGTGCTATCGATGAACAGCAATGACTACTTACAACACTATTTCAATACCACAATCCCTAACATATAATAAAAACTAAATACTCAAGGCCTCCATTTGCATTATGATTCTGTAGCCGATATGACGTGGTGATTTAAGGACTCCTTCTGTAAATGCAAGTAGCCCGCCATTTAGACTGCGTCAAGATCCACTCAAGATCTTATCTGGAAATAACCTGGCAACTTGAGATTGTGGAATAAAATTGGAGCTCAGGTGGGTGGTAACCATACAGGCAACAAAGGATACGCGATAGGACATAATCCTTATGCATGTATGATGTACCTTTCTCTTTTATTTTGTATCCTTAGCCGATGGTGTGGCATGCCAACTCGAGCAGCAAACCTTGCACGATACTACTGGTACGGTTCAACGTAGAAGACTTCCGGTGACATTTGTCGTCCTAATCTTCAGGATTCTTCAACCCCGCTAGTTTTGACTTTCCAAACTTTTCTCACTAAATCATATTTCTTGAATATCTTCTAATCCTAACCTCTCCGATTACTTCTAATACCTTTATTACCTCTTCTACTATTGGATTTGAATTGACAATTATATCTCTGTGCTGATAAGGTATGACAACATGGACTGATGTACTTACGTACAAAGTTCTACGCTGCATCTGACTGACTCAGTGACTGAGCAATTACTGAAAATAAAGTATTCATTATACTGGTTTTGTTTAACTGTATCAAAAACAATTACGTGCACGCAAGACCTCTCCCCGCGTTGCTGCCATCTTTTACAACTTGCTGCTCGATGTAGTGCCTACTTTCCCCTTCAAATGCATTCTCAATCCTGGATTTATTTCTAAGATTGGTGACGGGAAAGTAATAAGTATTTAGTGGTGATCATAGTCAATCTCGACTCGGTCACCACTAAACCCTAATGAAGGCCCTCAGAGGTAAATGCTTTGACCTTCTTCATCAAGTGTCCCCTGGATTAATACTTTTCAACAAACACATCGACATTGACCCAATTTATCAACCAATCAGAAAAATCATAGGTGACATAGGATCAAGAAACAGATCAAAAGGAGGATACAATCAAAACAACGACAGATATATGGTTAACAGCAGCCAATCAAGATCGAGGTTAGCAGAACAAACTACAGGTCAAACATGGAGAAATTCGAATGCTTCACTTCTATCTGCAGTTTGTGCTGATGATGTTGTTCAGAAGAACAATCAAAGATCCACAACCAAAACATCCAGCTCAGGGAACCAAACACCACCACAACCTGACAACTCGTTGCTCTAAGCATATTATATACTGAGAACGTACTTGCAGGACGATTTATGGGGTACTTGGACCACAAAATATAGCTTACAAAGTTTGCTTGGAGAATTTTAAAACGCAACCTGACCACTAAGGAAGAATGTAACCATGATGTATGGTATAATTTAGCAGCAAATTATCTGACGTCACAAAGCCGGTACTCAAAAAGTATTCGAACATCTGGGAAATATCATCAAACTTGCTAAAAGTGATTAGCAATATGATCACACTACGGATACAGAAAGAACTTTCTCCAAACATAAACCAACATAATCACATGTTAATAAGAACAAAGGAAGAACTCACAAAGCCTTCTGTTTCAAGACGCAGATCTTGGGTGAAGAGATTCTCCGTGAAGTTCGAAACAGTTTGAAAACTAAAGTAATAGACTAGCATTGCTGAAACCGAAAACGCCGTCTAGTGACCTAGTGGTCGACGGAAGACGCTTATTCATCCAGATCTCCTTTACGTTATTCGTCTGGTCGGAGAAAATCTATGCTAGACAGATATGACGTAGAGCACCCGTTTAGCTAGCGCAATGGTGACCACATGACAGCGAATAGAGCCCATAGGTAAACCAAACCATGACTTTGAGAATCTGCTTTGGGACAGCAAAACTATACTTTTATTGCTTGGCCAAAGAGGAATGTGTTGCTGAGTGAGAGACACGGAGGACTCTAATTAAACTAGAATGTCATCATGACGATGTTTCAATATATATCTAACATTAAAAGAACGCCAAGTCAGATGAACATAAAGACATAGTGACAAAAATATCAAACAAACTACTGACATTTTTTGCCTTTCTTTTTAAATCAAGCAATTTCGGATTAGTAATACGCATGGCCGTACAGATTAAGCCGAATCGTTAACAGTCAAGTACAAATAACAGCTACTGAGCAGGTACTACCGAATACGTATTATAAAAAAAGCTTAATTCTTGAAGACCAAATTAAGACTTTAAACGTAAATACAACTAAAGGACCATTTATTCTCTATAGAGTAATGTATAAAAAGCAATAAGAGATGTAGTTCACAATAGATTTGACACGTGATACTGCTCTGAACGAACGCTGGAAGATCAATTTTCAAAAATAACAATCTGGTTGAACGCTTATGTAAATAAGTTACGGAATACTACTAATATAATATACTAAGAAAGGTGAACTATCTACACATATCACGGAAATATTTTCTGTATATTAATGTATAAAGTAGATAACAAAGTAATAATGATAGACTTAAAAAAATATCTACTACTTTAGTATGCTGTACCATCCTTTAGGTATTACTAGTGCAAGTCTCAAAAAATAAACAAATGGAGTTATTGATAGTTCAACAACCGAACAGCAGAAAGAAGTGTGAGATAGGATTTGATTGAAGAAAATGCGATTTTATCGATCACGTTGTAAGAAATTCGCTGCAATATGAAGAAGCGCTTTTCTTGATAAAGAATCCCTGAATTGAAATAAGCACCGTTGAGCTGCCTGGAAATGAAATTCAGCCAACATCCGAGTCTGACCAACTCCATCTGACTGAAAATGACAAATTGATGAAAAGGGAACAAAATTTAACTGGAAAAAATTAAAGTAGGAAGATATAGGCTACGCAACTAACGCCATCAAAAATGTGTATTATTGACAGTGGAGTACAGTGAGATTTCTTGAACCATTTTCTAGTGTAAACAGATAGATGGGGAGAAAGTGACAAATTTGCTTTACAGCTAATCTTAAAATTGTCTGTAGTCCCAAACTTGATATTCTGAATAGCTCAGTATTTCTTAACCAAGAAAAATGTGGCATAAATCCTTTATGCATTCAGTGTTATAAAAGCAAATAAATCTCCTGAGAAGAAAATAAATTCATAATAAGTAAGAAGCAAGACAACTAGAGAGTATGTGCACGGAGTAAAATGAAATCGAAACTGGAGGTAGTCGAGAACAACTAGAACGGTATTTTTACCCCGATGTAGGTGGACTTTCACAACAAACGTGTAGATTACCATCAGAAATGATTTGTACAGTGATATTGTGAGGTCATTCAACCGGATGACTTATTCATTCCAATAAATCATAACCGATATTGACGCTATCTAGGTAGGCACCCACTAAGAAAATAAACAAACACCGAGCAACCTTACTGAAATAAAATACTACAACATTGGAAGATACAGAAACTGACAAACATTCACTTTTAAAATCATATCACTAATAGAATATGTATCCTTCAAAAAATTTATTATTATTCCCCACCAACTGTCCTTTTTCTCGTGCAGTTATCATTACGCAGTGGATCTCATATTTGGAGTAACGAATACCTGATATGAAATCGAGTGAGAATATCAAAAAGCAGAAAGACGATACATCGATGAATTTTAATTCAAGAGGAAAAAAATATTTAGAAGGAACGAAACACTGTACCTGTTGAACTAACTCTAAAGCTCTTTCAGCATCCCCATCTAGACTGAATTGACGCAGAAGTATTGTATTTAACTCAGGATACTAAAGATATAAAAAAAAAACAGGAAACCGATAAATTGTTAAGTAACTTTTATCTTCTTATCAAGTCAATCCTAAAGCAGTAAATGTTCCAATTTCAAATAATTTCGTCCGAATAGACTCAAGAGTCATTTCCAGTAAGTAGCTAATTAACTAGGATGTCTTTGACTTAAAGGAGGTAATAAGTAGAAACAAAGTTTGCTTATTCTTTGACCAAAAAGGGATCTTCTAACCTACTATCAAACAGATTTGTGATAAAAGCACTAATACTGAGAGTGAGATTTCAAGATTGTTGGTTCGTAAAACGTAATTAAATATTCCATTATCAACAAATTTATGATTATTGATCTATATTTTTATTTAAGTATACTTAAGGTTATGTAATAATTTCCTTAGAGACCATCACTGTAACATAGAAATGAAACAATCAGTAAATTTTAGTAACCAAATTGCAGTGGTTTGCCAGAAGCACATTATTGGACAGTAAATTATCTCATATACCCGGATAGATTTATAAAATAAAGCTTGGTGAGAGAGTAATGTGGTAAAATAATGAAACAAATCTATGTTTGGGATTCACAAACACCAAGTACAATTAAACGTTTAATTGCATTGCTGGTTAAGTGAATTGTTGGTTTTTTAGAAAAATAAATTTAGAAAACTGCTGTTTAAGTCTTATTCAGGTTGAAATTAGATTACTGGAAATCAGAACGTATTTTAAGGTCAGTCTAACAGTTCGTTAGTGTACTTTAATGTTTGAAGTATGGGAGACAAAATTATACTAACACCACAGAAAAATTAATCTTAAGTAACGAACGGTTAGTACACACTTGTGAAAGAAAGCTCGTTCTTTTACGAAAGCTTTGGTTCCGAAAAATAGTCAGCTGGATATTCAATAGTATATATGTAATGTTTACATGATCTCTGTAAATACTGCACAGTTATTTGTTAAGAAGCAACTAAATAAGCCTAATTTTTCGGAAGAAAGTTCAACTGTGAGTGGTAGTGACGACTCAGTATCAAGGTGCTGGATGACCACTTTCGACATTCTTCTTTAACTTTGTCGTAGACATGCTGCTGGATATAACATTATCTTCGTCAGAATTTTCAAGAGTCGACCTTCTACCAGGAAAATCTCTTACTGGCCTAGAATATGCCAGTCTTCTGACTACCCTAAGCAACAATGCAAGCATGTTGGGAATGCGATTCTCCCAGTCGAAATGCAAAACGTTGCTTCAAGATTGACTTGCATCGGTACCTAAACCAGTAATAGAAAGTGAAGCAGCTGAGCGTGTCGAACGCTTCACTTACCTGGGGAGTCTCATCAATGCTGATGGCCTGGTGACTGACGAAGTCTCAGCACGGATACAGAAAGCTCGATTGGCATTTGCCAACCGACGTGACTTATGGCGTAGACAGGATATCCGTTTGCTGACTGAAGGGTGAGTGTACTGCGCAGTAGTTCGCTCCGTCCTACTTTATATCTGCGAAACATGACCAGTCAGAGTAGAAGATATTCGTAGGTTGCTGGTTTTCGATCATGGCACAAATCCATGAAGTCACTGACAAGTGGATTGAGTCATGTTGGTGTATGTAGACTACCTGGTTGAGGCCAGCGAGATGATAGTAACCGATGGTTAGAGACCGTGAATGACATGGCTCAAAATCGTTGACATTGGCGCAGGTGCAGCCACTTTGAGTTTTATGAAATTCTATTCCTCTGGATTCCTCATCACCTCTGTCTTTCTGTTTCTAAAGTTATGTCATTGAATTATACTTCTTGAATAACATCTTCGAACCCTAACCTCTGTGATTACTGCTAGTACATCTACTACCTCTACTACTATGGCATTTGAAGCGACAGTTGTATCTCTGTGCGAATGTGCTGTGGCAACTTGAACTGATGTACGTACATACGAAGTTTTATGTTGCTGTTGACTGACTGACTGCCAGATTAGTAAACAAAGGCAACAAATTAGATCATTAGTGATAAAAGCGATGTTCTTAGGGAAACTCCAAACATCATAGCACTGTTTGTAATCACACTTCTGCAAGATTGTAATAGGAAGTAATAGTTAATTCATCCTCTCTTATAAGACATTTAATAATGTTCGGAGCGCGAATTTGTCAACAAATCAAATTACACTACATATAGTCAAATCTATGGGAACCAATTTGTAAATGGAGCTAACCCGTTCGCAATAAAATACAACTAAGAAAACTTGCTGTAGAGCATCCGAAGTTACAATACTTTGAAAAAATTGATCAGTGAATCCAGGTGATTAGACTTATCACAGTTATTAATTTACTTCAAATTACTGACATCAATCATTGGGTGAGTTTTACTACATCTGAGTGAAATTAACCGTTGGTCGTAAATTAAATTATCCACACTGTTTTAACAACAATCGATCTTTGTTCTTTCTATTACAATAGGAACGTGACTAACCTGTTGATTATGATAATCAGTGAGATGTCGGAGTTTACTATTTTTGGTGATAAAAGATTCAATGTTGAGTCAACAAGGCGATTTCAATAGTTTAGAGGATCTAGGTAATTGTTATTTGGTAAGAAATGCCTCCAGTTTTAGAAGTATCGATATGATATGTTATGATTATGATCAATGAAGCAAAAAAATATATTCATTTCACGACAAACAAAATCAAACGGCTTAATAAACTAACTGCAGACCATGCATGGATGGTCATACCCTAACTTTTTACTCTTAAAGAGAACTTACTCGTTGCGCAGCAAACAACACAGGTCCAGTTGCAAGACCCATTTGTAGATCCGCTCGATTAGGTTTGCCCAAATTTGCTTCATCGGTGACAAAGTCCAATACATCATCGATTAATTGAAATGCCATTCCTAAATGTTTTCCGAATTCGTACATATTATCAATACGGTGCTGTGAAAGTGTTGGAACAGTCAACATAGCAACCTAGGAGGAAAATTTTAATCTAGCCAAGGAATAAAAAGTAAACTTTCCACGATAATCCGAAATATATACACAAAACTAGTCAACCATTTCTTAGATTTTTAGATGATACAAAGACTGAGAGATATGTAGGTCAAAATATATGCTGATAATTACTCATAACATGTAACTCAACTTAATTTCGGTAAGACGTTTAGCATTATTTTAATCATAGAATTACTCCTCAGTGGTAAGTCCTAATTCTAAATAGTGTTTTTTATTAGGACAGTATTGAATACTAAATAAATATAGTTGGTTGACAATTTCTCAAATTAGGGTTATTATTTAATGTATTGAGAATGAAAGTTTTAAATCTTTAAATAAACTGAGTTAAGGATTAATGTAAGGTGATTCCAGTTAACTATTGCCAAGACACAGTAACTCACAAAGTGGTAGTAATAACAATACTGATTTGAATCTTTTTCGACCATCATTATTCTACACCAAAATGGGGGATTTAAACTGAGGAAATGTGTTAAGTACTTAGGTAATGATGGATAAGGTAAAAATCATACTGTTTTATTTCCATTTAAACATATAATTATTGGTACAGAGAGGCACCAAACAATATATATGTCACATAAATTACTGAATTTGCGAGTGGGCAGGTATACTGCCTGAGTGTCCACACCGTACCAGATGCAAATCAGGATGGTATATGAGTAATCTACACTTAAGGTTCAGTGATTTAAGGTGCTAACTTTGTCACTGAGTGAAAGGTTTGAACTCTGTTTCACCTTCTTCAGTTTGAAAAATTAGGGAAAATCCCATCTGCATACATTGAGTTCGACACATATCTTAATCAAGTTTTTAAGCAAACCAATATATCACAGTTTTGTCAAAAACCAAGTTTATTTTAAAAATTGAAATTTTAAGCCATGTTAACCATTTCCTTAGATAGCTTGGAGAATATTTTCAACTACTTGATTGGCATCTACACCTACATGAGGCTTTTTATATCCCCTCATGTTTTATAACATTTGATTTCAACAGTGACTTTTTTCCTGACTACTTTGTTTTTAAAACGTAAAAAATTGCATTCATATAAGATTCTTTATTCATATTGCTTGCTTGAATCTTTTGATTGATGTTCTGGACTGCAATTGATCAGTATCTTTTGAATATGTGTATTCCAGGCGCATGACCTCGGTATTGCCTCTAGTTTACTAGCATTATTAGCAGAGGTATGTAGTGGCAAGCAGTGGAACCGAGAACGCACCTTCCGTCCTACTTTGGACTTGTCAGCTGATGAGTAACAAAAAGGACAAAATACGCGTCCTAAATCCCACTGCTACCTACTATCCACCTCTGATAATAATTATTGTGAAGGTTGTTTTACTGTTAACATGCACGTATAAACTTATTTTCATCTGCGGAAGATAGTTTATGCTCGCGGTCACGATGAAATAATAGATATTTCATTGAGTTACTATCCTACAAATAGCTCATTAGAAAGTACCAACGTAGAAGTTCGTATGTACGTACATCAGTTCAAGTTGCCATAGCACATTAGCACAGAGATACAACTGTCGCTTCAAATGCCACAGTAGTAGAGGTGGTAGATGTACTAGCAGTAATCACAGAGGTTAGGGTTCGAAGATGTTATTCAAGAAGTATAATTCAATGACATAACTTTAGAAACAGAAAGACAGAGGTGATGAGGAATCCAGAGGAATAGAATTTCATAAAACTCAAAGTGGCTGCACCTGCGCCAATGCCAACGATTTTTGAGCCACGTCATTCACGGTCTCTAACCATCGGTTACTATCATCTCGCTGGCCTCAACCAGGTAGTCTACATACACCAACATGACTCAATCCACTTGTCAGTGACTTCATGGATTTGTGCCATGTTTTGGTTTGGCCAGCCCTAGCTTTCTTCCAACCTACTCCAACACCACAAAACATAGCTCGTCGAGGTAGTAGTTGGTTGCGCCTTCGTAACACATGTCCCAACCACCTCAACTGATGAAGTCTCACTACTTTATCTATTGATCTGCCACTCTTACCTAGGATCCATTAACTAACAACAGTATTGCTTATTCGGTTGTCCCAGGATACACGAGCAATGCTTCGAAGACACCTATGATCGAAAACCAGCAACCTACGAATATATTCTACTCTGACTGGCCATGTTTCGCAGATATAAAGTAGGACGGAGCGAACTACTGCGCAGTACACTCGCCCTTCAGTCAGCAAACGGATATCTTGTCTACGCCATAAGTCACGTGGGTTGGGAAATGCTAACGAGCTTTCTGTATCCGTGCTGAGACTTCGTCAGTCACCAGGCCATCAGCATTGATGAGACTCCTCAGATAAGTGAAGCGTTCGACACGCTCAGCTGCTTCACTTTCTATTACTGGTTTAGGTACCGATGCAAGCCAATCTTGAAGCAACGTTTTGCATTTCGACTGGGAGAATCGCATTCCCAACATGCTTGCATTGTTGCTTAGGGTAGTCAGAAGACTGGCATATTCTAGGCCAGTAAGAGATTTTCCTGGTAGAAGGTCGACTCCTGAAAAGTCGGACGAAGATAATGTTATATCCAGCAGCATGTCTATGATGAAAGTAAACGAGAATGGAGAGAGTGGACAACCCTGACGCGCACCACTTGAAGTAAAGAATTCCGGTGACAGTTCGCCATAAGCCCTCACTCGACCACCTGTGTTCGAGTAGAGAAGTATATAAGGTTAATGTACCTCTTCGGTACACCTTTCAATGACAGACAGTGCCAGAGAACCTCACGATCAACAGAGTCGGATGCCGCCTTAAGGTCCAGGAAGACAACTATTTTATGATGCCTATATGTGTGTCTGTGTTCCAGGACCTGTTGTAGTGTGAAAATGTGGTGTATACAGCCACATCTATGTCGGAAAGCAGATTGGTTTCCCCGAGTCTGCTCTTCACGAGCTTCCGTCAAGCGTCGGAGTATTATTGAGGCCCATATTTTAGATACCATATTAATTAGACTGACTCCCCTGTGATTTTCACAAGAGGACTTTCGTCCTTTCTTGTAGACTGGGACAATCAGTGATTGAGACCAGTCAGATGGGATTTCACCCAGTTCTCAGATTCTACTTAAGATCTCAGTCAGTCTAACTGTTAAAACTGGACCTACATTCTTAAAAATCTCAAGGGTCAATCTATCAGGTCCATCTGCTCTCTTTTGCTTCAGATTTTCCACAGGCTTTTCAACTTCATGAAGATTCGGAGGGCTTACGTCGAATTGCCATTCAGGATGACTGGAGATCGTGGGTGAACGAAGTGTTGCTGAAAGTCAACTGAACCGATTCCTAGAGTGTCCTGCACTTCGATCCAATCTCCTGGATTGAGAATGAATAATAAGACCATCCTTTTCCGAGATAGTCTCACTCACATTCGGATTCTTAATAGCGGTTTCCCTGATAAGTCGGAACAACTGTCTGATGTTGCCTATCAGTGCCGCGTTTTCAATGTCTCTTGGTTTCACTACTGGATACTGTTTGCGATCATTGCGTAGGCTTTTATTAGCCTGCGCATAAGCTGACTTTACTCTTCGTCATATCCATAGCCAGCCGGAATACAGTTCTGAGCACCCATTATTTCGGCAGATGATAATCAGATACACTGTCTGACACTAATCTTATAGTCCACTTTACTAGCACATACCACTGCTGTTTCCGCGGCTTTTCGGATATCTTTCACAGCCGTTTGGGGTGGGTATCACTTGCGAAATAGGCTACCTGACTATTTTTCTAGCTGTTCCTGAAGAGTATCATTAGCTTTGCTATTATTAGGCAGAACGCCAAGAAGGTTTCCTTGCAACGTCTTTCCTACATCCAATTAACTGCAGACAGGTAAGCGCTCTTACTAGAGCATGGTCTGCATCTAAACATGTTCTCCAGAATGAGCGGCATCTTTAAAATCCATCCTTTCCGTCAGTGGCTGATGGCAACGTGATCTAGTTGGGTCCGGCGATGGGACGACTTTGGGGGTCGCCAAGTCATAAGATGTTTATCCTTGTGCTTAAAGTTGGTGTTTGCTAGAAATAGGCGGTTCAGTCAGTCAGTCAGTTGCAACGTAGAACTTCGTACGTAAGTACATCAGTTCATGTTACCATACCACATCAGCACAGAGATGTAATTGTCAATTCAAATCCAATAGTAGAAGAGGTAGTAAAGGTATTAGAAGTAATCGGAGAGGTTAGGATTAGAAGATATTATTCACGACGTATGATTCAGTGTGATAAGTTTAGAAAGTAAAAACTAGAGGTGTTGAAGAACACAGAAGATTAGGATTTGAGAGAACACAAAGAATAAATGCACTGGCGCCATTGCGAACGATTTTGAGCCATGTCATTCAAGGTCTCTAGCCATCGATTATTATCATCTCGCGGACCCCAACCAGGTAGTCGACAATTACCGACATGGCTAAGTCCACTCGTCAATGACTTCATGGATTTCTGCCATGTTTTGGTCTGGCCGCCCCTAACTTTCTTCCAACCTATTCCTACACTACAAAACAAAGCTCGACGAGGCAGTCGGTGGTTAGGCATACGCAACACGTGTCCCAACCACCTCAATTGATGAAGTTTCACCACTTCATCGATTGATCTGCCATTCTTACCTAGTACCCGTTTCCTAATAACAGCGTTGCTCACTCGGGTGTCCCACGATATACGAGCAATGCTTCGAAGACACCTATGATCGAAAACCAATGGCCGACGAGTATCTTCTACTCTCATTGGCCATGTTTCACAGGCAAAAAGTAATACGGAGCGAACCACTGCGCAGTACACTCGTCCTTTAGTCAGCAAACGGATATCTCGCCTACGCCATAAGTGACTCAGGTTGGCAAAAGCCAATCGAGCCTTCTTTATCCGTGCCGAGATTTCGTCAGTCACCAGGCCATCAGCACTGATGAGACTCCCAAGATAAGTGAAGCGGTCTACAGGTTCGACCACTTCACTCCCTATCACTAGTTCAGGTGCCGATGCAACCCAATCTTGAAGCAACATTTTGCATTTCGAGGGGGAAAACCGCATCCCGAACATGCTTGCACGCGAGAAATAGGCGGTTATCTGAGCATAGTTGCTAAAGACGGTCACCATTGTCTGTTCTCTGAGCCGCGACACCATAAGATCCATCCAAGTATCTTTTCTTTTCACTGAGTCTACCTACTTGAGCATTAAAGTCACCAGCCATTAATACTATATCAGAGCGCCTAGCTTTTTCGAGGAGGTCCGAAAGCTTTCTGTAAAACTCATCTTTCACCTCGTGTGAAATGCAGTCAGTGGGAGCGTAGGTAGATACGATGAAGAGACAACGGCGTGTTGCTATCTTTCCGAGACCTTACTGTTCCGTTCAGTCGGACAGTGCACAAGCGACTATTTACTGGAATCCAGTCTAGAAGAGATTGTTCAGCCCTACGACTCAATGCTATACCTACACCAGCGAGACCCCGGGAAGCAGTATCACGGCTACCGGATACACGAAGGGTAAATCGAGCTGCTTCTTTATTTTGACAAGGTGAAATCAAATTATTAATTTTACTAGGATCCTGCATGCGCGTTTCCAAGACGCAGCATACATCGATTGAGCGAGATTCTAAAGTCCTAGCTAAGGAAGCCTGTTGCCCTATTCGACACAATGTCCGTACATTAAAAGCTCCAACATGTAGTCTAGAACGAGGTTTCAAGAGACCAGAAATGACGTTTCGTGAACTCGCATCGTTTGCAGTATGATAAAGGAATGTGAGAAGAGTTAGTCGTGGAGATAAGAGAAGTATTAAGAGGTGTAGGAAGGATTTGATTTTGACCAATTCGGTCTCGCGTGCTGTTCCGGGTATGAGGGCGGTTGTCACTTTCCGGCTGCCCATACCGTGGAAGGTCGTTTCTTGAGAAACCTGAAAAGGAAGACAGATGATTGTTGGTCTTAGAGACCTGGGAGCGTGACCGCAGAGCCCAAGGGACAACTGCTTGAGGCCGGTCACGCAAGGCCTTTCTATAATTAGGTTTTAAAGTGTTAGCTGTTCTCTTCAGAAAGACTTGACAACGGAGACGGAAACCCGATAAGCAAGCCCGACTACTGCGTCAAGGCAGCAGTTCGGTCGGGCATTAGAAAATTATTTGATATCTGAAAATTTTGTGAAAGGTAATAGTATAATGACATTTATTTAAAGACCAATTGTAGCATCTTGAATACGCTTGCAACTTTAGTGCTCATCAAATCCAAAAGTTATCAATTTCATTAACTTAGAAGATTATTTAAGGCCTTATGAGGAATCTACTATACATATATGCTTACTGCTTTACAACTGTTGGCAATAAGGCTCGCTGTTTTTCGGTAGGTCTTGGTCAGATAAGCTTGAAATCGTTTATCATCATCATCGCTGTTGGGTGCAAGCTGCATCATTTCACCTATTAATAAAATGTGATTAGCAAATAGAGACAAACCACGAATTAGATCTTCAATAACTTGAGAAAGGACAGCTATTACTCCAGTATTCCCTATCTGAGCTAATAAACGCGATGAGTGTGCCAGTATAAAATCGCCTCCTAAAACCGCCTGGAGAAAAAGTGTACATACATTCCAAAATAATAAACTAGATTTGCTAGAATTGAGTTAACAAAAAACTACAACTGACACACTGCTTAAAATGAGAAATATGGAGAGGTTTAGACAACGATGATGTAAAACAGCCGCTCATAGTTAGGTCTGATGTTAGCCTGATAATAATTAAACATTGAAGTAAAATAACGTTGAAAAATATAGTTTTCATAAATAATGGTCAAAAGCCACTGTTACATGAATTAACTTATATAGAAACCGTTTTCTTCAAAAATCAGTAGTGGTAGTAGTAACAGTAATATTATATGCAGACTGTGATTGTTTCGCTAAATAGCCACGATCAGAGGTTGAAAATAGATGAAATCGATCAGAGTTGGTTACAGTGGAGCGAATGGACTCACTCCAATAGTTGCTCTAGATATTTACTTTCAATATTTTTTCAAATATACATTTATGAACATTCTTCAATAATTACTGTTGCATGGCTATTTATCCCTACTACTACTTCCTTGTTGTTTATCTGGTTGATTTTACGCAGTGAGGATATAGTATGACATTTGAGCTGATCCACATTTGTGTTGGATTGTACTCTGGTTTTGTATGAATGAAGTTCGTCACTGAATATTGTCAAAAAAAGTCATCTGCACAACTTATATTGCTAATTACATTACATCAACATATTCGCAAAGCGATGTTTCAGACTAGTGGCACGAATACACTAAGCCACGCAACTTTAAATTTTTTCGAGGTGAGAGCAGCAAACTTAAAAATAAACGAGATATCTTTCTTGTTTCTGCATTAGGATTTTCTGAGTCAACAAGTCAGTAATTATGTAAACAGATTTTCTGGCTTGATGTGACTGAAAGAGTCAGCCAGCTAACGACAACGTAGAACATGAAACGCACATACATCAGTTTAAGTTGTCATACCACACCAGCACAGAGACAGATATATGAATTCGAATTCTATTGTAGTAGAGGTTATAACAGTATCAGGTGTAATGGAGAACATTGACGATCGAACTTGAAGAGTATAGTACCCCTAACTTTGGGATCATATAATAGAAGCCAAGACAAGATCTTAAGCTACACCATAGACGACTAACACCTAGCAACTGCATGATGTCACAAAATGGAAAATTACGACATGATTCTGGCAATGTGTTTAAATCGTAGGGAGCCAATCCTAGATCCGAATAAATTTAAGTGACAGAACCCAGTTATATGCCTAACTGCGTCAATACCAAGAACTTTTATGCAACTAAGAACGGTCAACAATTTGCTAAAAAGTACTGTTTTTCTATTCTTGAATTCATTACGCTATACAAAGTGACGTTAACTGACCTCTCTATGTCCAAAGGCTCTATAAGCCGATGTTTTACCTCTCCGGACCGATGCTGAGTCAATCAGGTCATCGTGAATAAGACTGGCTGTATGGATCATTTCCGTGATTTTGGCAATCTCATGTTGTTCGGGCGAGACTAGATGAGCTAAATGCGTCTGATTCAAAAATTACTGTATACAGCACTTACCCAGGTTCCTAGAATGACTTGTTGCAAATGATTTATGTCTTACAACAAAAGAAGCTTTACATTCTTTGTGCGAATTTGCGCATGCTGCTGCGAGAGTAACAAGCAGTGGACGAACGAGCTTTCCCTGAGATTCGAACTGGTAACGCAGTAAATCTTGGAAGGCTGGGAATGATGAACAAAGACTCTATCATACAAAGGAACACATAAAGATCAACACGGAATTACATGTTTAATTTCGGACACTATCAACTGTATATCTCCCAAAGCATTTTGTAAAAGCTGTTTACATTCGTGGTCCGGGAGGCGTGATAAATAAACACTGGAATGTGTAAGCCTCTATAACTTCAGATCATTTCAAGTTCAAGTACAAACCTTGATTACAGCATCAAAAGGCCTATGTGCTGCTGTCCAGCGAAAAACGACCATCAACTTCAGTAGCGCAACATTTGAAATCCCACCAATCCCAGTCCATAGTAGTGAGGATAGGTCAATCCACTTTGTAATATCTTTTTACGGGCTAGTATAGACCAACTGATTTCTTTGCGCTCGATTCTTGTTCTTTCGGTACGGTTCCAGGTGTTTTTTGGTGTCCAACGAATGTGTGTCTAGCCAATCGAATAGCTAATTGCAGTCCGTTGGCAGTTGGTTGTGAGTTTGTATATCACGTGATTTGAACTAATACGTTTGTTTGAGGACAATCGGATTTCTGGATACCAGCAGCTATCATATTACCAGACCTAAGATCAGCTAGTTGCAATGTGGAGAATAGTAAGGAGAAAGTTCTAGTATGAATAAGATTTCAGAACTTAGTAAATCAATAAATAATTTATTTTCTCAATTGGTTGTGAAGATTGTAAAAGAGGACCAAGGAAACACTGATAATACGCGAGACAGATAAAGTTAGTGATCTGAGGAGGTGGTAATAATAACCACTCGCAAGTCTGAAGCCATCCATCAAGTGCAGCTTTTCCACCAGGGAGATGATAATACCTATAGGAGTACGTGTTTATCAAGTCTCTTTTCAAAGCTGTCCACTGAGGTGGCTGCGGTTACCTCAGATGGGAGAGTATTCCAAGTTGTAACGACTCTTAATCAGAAAAAGTGTTCTCGAACCAGAGTATTCGCTCTTTGATGCGCAATTTTTCGAGGACTGCCTTGAGGGCAGTAGGGTGATGCATCGGTAAGATGCTCGACCTGGGATGGTTTGGCGTGGTGGAGAAAACTTGTAGCTCAGGTGGATGATTGTGGTGGTGTTTCGTTCTCTGAGCTGGTTGTTTTGGTTGTGGAGCTTTCATTGTTCTTCTGAACAACATCATCAGCACGAACTTCAGATAGAAGTGAAGCATTAAAATTTCTCCACGTTTGACCTGTAGCTTGTTCTGCTAACCTCGATCTTGATTGGTTGTTGTTGACCTTTGACCTGTCGTTGTTTGCAACTATGTTTTGATTGCCTCCCTCTTTTGATCTGTTTCTTGATCCAGTGTCACCTATGATTCTCCTGATTGGTTGATAAATTGGGTCAATGTCGATGTGTTTGTTGATTGCTAATTGACCTGAGTGCCAAGCTTCTAAAAATTCTCTAGTGTTCTTTGTCCTCCCCCTACCCAGTATTTCCACGTTGTTCCAATCAAATGTGTGTCCATAGTTGTCGGTATGTATTGAGATAAGCGAAGCGTTGTCGTGGCGTTTGACTGCTAATTGATGTTCACGTAAACGGAGATGAAGAGGTCGTCCACTTTGTCCTATGTAGTGTTTTTCACAGTTTGAGCAATTTATTTTGTAGATGATATTTGGTTTTTCTTCCTTTGTCATTTCGTCCTTTGGTCTACATAGGATTGACTGAAGTGATTCTGTTGGTTTGTGTGCCACACCTATTCCAAATGGTTTCAGTAGTCGTGCCGTATGCTCTGATATGTCTTTGATGTATGGTAGGATGATGCGTTTATTTGTTCCTGTGCTTGATTTCACTTCTGATGATGGTTTCGGTTGATGTTTTTTGATGAAGTTGCGTGGATAGCCGTTCTTTTGGAAGATAGTCATCAGGTGTTGTTCCTCGTTTTTTAATGTTTCATATGTGCTGCAGTGTGTCTTCGCTCTTTTGAACAGAGTTTGTATGCAGTTAATCTTGTGGGTTCTTGGGTTGTTGCTGTCGTAGTTGAGAATTACGTCGGTGTGGGTTGGCTTCCGAAATACTTGAGTTTCTAGTTTTCTGGTGTTAGTTCTGGTGATTAGTACATCCAGGAATGATAGGCTGTTGTTTGATTCCTTTTCCATCGTGAATTTGATGTCCTCAAAGACGTTGTTGATCTGATTGTAGATGTTCTCCAGCTCATTCCTTTTGATAATAACGAATGTGTCGTCTACATAGCGAACCCACATTTTTGGCTTGATCACTGGCAGAATCGACGCTTCCAGTCTCTGCATTACCGCTTCGGCGATGAGTCCTGATATTGGTGATCCCATTGGTGTTCCTTTTATTTGTTCGTAGACTCTGTTGTTGAACTGAAGATATGTTGTTAAGCATAGGTCGATGAGTTCAAGCAAACTTTGACTCCGAAGCTTTGTATATTTGTGTAGATTTGTGTCGTTGGTGAGGAGCAGAGAAAGAGTTTCTTTAGCTAAGCTTGGTTCTATTGAGGTAAATAAAGCTGTTACGTCGAAGGATATCATCATTTCGTCGTTGTCAATTTGAATCCTCTTGAGTTTATCCAAACATAGTTGCAAACAACGACAGGTCAAAGGTCAACAACAACCAATCAAGATCGAGGTTAGCAGAACAAGCTACAGGTCAAACGTGGAGAAATTTTAATGCTTCACTTCTATCTGAAGTTCGTGCTGATGATGTTGTTCAGAAGAACAATGAAAGCTCCACAACCAAAACAACCAGCTCAGAGAACGAAACACCACCACAATGGTTTGGCGTGCCTATTGGGTTTTACGCCACAAGTAGATTACCCCTGATTCTCCTGTAACTCAGAGGGAATGGTCCCGAATGCTTAGGTTTTATTTTTCAACCCTATCACCCATTCCGTTGCTCGTCTCTGCACTCGATCCAAGAGATTTATGCTTCTTTAAGGAGAAGGTGTGACGACTTTGTGAACCCCAAGGTGTGGGCGTACATTCATCATAACCAGCATTAGGAATAATACCGGAGTGATAGCACCAAGTGGTCTTCGCATGAAGTGAAGAGTTGCATTTCCCCAGGCTGCGTCCCCTACATAATTTGAGCTGGTATGGAGGCTTCCAGTGGTTATCAAAACGAGATCGCGCTCTGAGGGGATATTAGAGAGCAGACTCCCGTTGGAGGTGTAAATCGTTTGCGTCATGTGTGGCAGAATGTACATGACGTGACATTTCAGCTGTTTTAGTTTTAAACCGTTTTTCACCGTCCATTCCTCAATGGATGGAAGGTCCTTTTGAAGCTCAGTCGAACCCTCTTCGCTTCTAGTGGACCTCCAGATCTTTGTATCGTCTGTGTAGATCAGTGCCAGCGAGCTAACAGTGTCTAACAAGTCGTTAACAAATATCAGGAAGAGAAGTGGACTTAAAATGGTCCGCTATGAAACTACCGATGTTGAGACTCGCCAACCAGCGTGCAATTTATTTACTCTGTTGCGAAACTTTCTCTTCTCAAGATAGTTTCTGAGCCAAGATATTAGTTGGTCGGTGAAGCCCATTTTCGCAAACTTCGCAATTAGGCGTGCTTGGAGTGCTGTGTCAGAGGTTTTCACAAAGTCAAGAAATAATATGTGCGTCTGTGTTTTGCGGTCCAAGCAGGGTGTCCGAAGTGTCCTATGCTATGAGAAGATTGGACGCAAACGACCTGCCTTTCTGAAACCCGTGCTCATCTTCATGGAGTTTTTTCTTCTTATCCATGCACTCCTTCATCTGTTAGTACACCAGCCCTTCCATTACCTTTCATAGTATTGGCATTAATGCCAGTGGTCTGTAACAGGCCGAGGCTTTCCTACCTCCTCCTTTGAGGACTGGAAAGAGAGCAGCTTTTTTCCATTCCACAGGGAGTTTTGTGACTCCAGTGAATGCCTGAACAGATCACATATCGGTGAACAGAGGACTTCTGCACATTTTTTTAAGACTATGAGGTGAATATTGTCACAACCTCGTAACTTTCCTGGGCGTATGGATTTTAGTTTACTGAGAACCAAGTTAGGAGTAACACGGGTATTCCCTAAGCCGTCAGCCTACACTGGGTTTGCGTAGTACTCTGAACATGTGGATGCTTCGTTTAAGTGATTGGTGAAGTTTGTGTTGAAGGTTTTAGCCATCTCTTGGTTACTTACTTACTTACTTACTTAAGCCTGTTACCCCCAATGGAGCATAGGCCGCCCACCAGTTTCCTCCGACCACCTCTGTCCTGGACTTCCCTCTTCAGTTCTGTCCAGTTTTTTGCTCGTCGATCTTACGAAGCACTGTTGTCGTCTATTGGTAATTCAAGGTCCCAAATTTCTATACCAAGAACGAAACTCCAAAGTAGATACCAAAGTTTATTCCAAATCACAAATTCCACCAAAATAATTTATTACAAATAGACGACCAATGTCGTTCTAACAACAATAATTATAATAATTACAATTACCTTCTAATTTATTATCTCTTGGAGCAAAAAACTGTAACGAACAACAAAGAGAAACGGGAGTCCAATATGTCCGCAAATAATAATTCAAACAAGTTCATAAGTTAAGTAAAACAAATATACCCAAAAAACAGTGAAATTAATGATATTTATACATGAAGGTTTTGATCAGCAAAATGTCTTCGTTTCTCCCGTAACACTCCCGACCAAAAGAACCTTGGTTCTTTTCACCGACAAAAATATATAACAACAATCCAAGTAGGTGCATCACAAGCAATCAACAACAAACATTCAATATAAATTCTACACCGGCCCACAATATCCCTCTAAGCAAAACAAGCCCTTTCTAACACTTCAATTTACGGTTCATTCTCATCCCCTAATCCACACTGGAAGAACGAGTAGGACTTACAGCAGTACGCCTACCCGCCCTCCAACATGGATATAACCTATCAAACTAACTATGTACCTGTACCTTAGATATCAGGTCCTTGATTCCCCTATCTATCGTAGCATGACCTAACGGTAGTATAAACCTTATCCAATTAACCCACACGAACATGTGCAACACGTCGTAAAGCTGGTCATATGCTCTTAGAGATTTACTTTCCACCTCATGGGGATGAGTCGTTAATCCACCACCCATTGCTCCAAACAGCAGATACGATGAAGCCCGTGATGCTGACTTATCAACAGAAGTTCTTGACCCATAGATTGTATGCAAGGGCAGGATCTCCGATTTTGACGTTTCCTCGTCTCCCGAAGACTCTAGGTGGCATAACATTGGAACAATATTCAACTCTCCATCTCCTGGTACAGAGGTTTGATCAGCATTCGTCAACGTCGACAAAGCATTTGTCACATC